AGAAAATATCTAGACTGAAGCATTGGGAGAAAAAAGGATGAATAATATGAAAAAGGTCGTAAGACATATATGAGACTCAGTGATTCAGTGATCTCACATATATTTGATTGGGATTGCATAAAGAGAGCACAAAAGGAATTGGGAAGAAACGATATTTGAATTGCAGGCTGGGAATTTTCTAATGGATGAAAGACATTAAGCTACGGATTCAAGAAGCCCTGTGAACTCTAAGAAGAGTAAATATATGAAAACATATGTTATGGTCTGAATGTTTGTGTTCCCCCAAAATTCACATGTTAAAATCCTAACCCCCAAGGTAATGGTATAAGGAAGTGAGACCCTTGGCAGGTGATTAGGTCATGAGGGCAGAGCCTTCATGAATGGCATTAGTGCCCTCATGAACGAGACACCAGAGAGCTAGCTAGCCCCCTTCCACCACGGGAGGACACAGCAACAAGGCACTGTCTTTGAGAAAGTGGGGCCTTACCAGACACCGAGTCTTCTCATGCCTTGATCTTGGACTTCCTAGCCTCCAGAACTGTGAGAAATGAATTCTGTTGTTTATAAACTACTCATCCTATGGTATTTTGTTATAGAAGCCCAAACAGACTAAGACAACATATTGGACATACTACAGCATTACTGCTGAAAACCAAAGACACATGAGTATGATGTTGGAAGAATAGATTGTGTTCATGAACTGAAAGACTAAATGTCACAAAGTTGAGATTTATCTCCCAATTCCTCTATATAGATTCAATTTAATACCAGTCTAAATTCTAGTGGATTTTTTTGTGGGATTGACAAGCTGATTTTAAAATTTTTCGTGGTAACACAGAGGGTCAAGCATCCCAGAAAAGACACACAGCTAGTAAATAGTGAAGCTGGGAGTCAAACTTGAGTCTTTTTACTGCCAAAGCCCATTTTCCTCCCTTATATCATGCTACTTTAAGTTGAACCTGAAGTTAAGAATGGGAAATTTAATTTTAAATTTCAAAATCATTGTCTCAGGTGAAAGAGAAAGCAGTCTATTAAGAGAACTCCTGTATTAACTTTGGGACGTTCTCAGAGAATAATAGCCCTCTTTTCTAACTACATTACAATGAGTTTCTGTGGGGTTGAGGATTTAAAAATGTACAGTAAATAGATATAATCACATTGCATTATGATATGTGATTAATATTTTTACATTAGTTTTTCTGTGTTTTTCTCCAGATGTTGAAATACTTCATGAGGCATTTATCAACATCGACTCAAAGGATCACAGGTTACAGAAAGTTAAAGTAATTCTGCTGCTACCTCGTTGTTCAGGACTGGGTGTTAGTAATCCAGTAGAATTTATTTTACATGAACATGAAGGTATTTATTTTAATTTCTACATTATTGAAATTAGTTGATAACTTAAAATATCAAATTATTTAGAATCATTAATATAGCATATCAAATATATCTGATTAATAAATAATAGCACATTTCCTTTCTGCTCAGCTCCACTGTC